TCCTTGGTGTCCCTGAGGTCCCAGGGTGTCCCCAGGGTGTCCCCAGGGTGTCCCCAAGGTGTCCCTGAGGTGTCCCCAGTGTCCCCTTGGTGTCCCCAGGGTATCCCCTTGGTGTCCCCGAGGTGTCCCCAGGGTGTCCCCAGGGTGTCTCCAGGATCCCCTTGGTGTCCCCAGAGTGTCCCCAGGGTCCCATTGGTGTTCCCAGAGTGTCCCCAGGGTGTCCCCAATGTCCCCAGGGTGCCCCCAGGTTTCCCCAGGGTGTCTCTGAGGTGTCCCCAGTGTCCCCTTGGTGTTCCCAAGATGTCCCCAGGGTGTCCCCAAGGTGCCCCCAGGTGTCCCCAGTGTCCCCAGGGTGTCCCCTTGCTGTCCCCAGGGTGTCCCCAGTGTCCCCAAGATGTCCCCAGGGTGTCCCCAGTGTCCCCTTGCTGTCCCCAGTGTCCCCCCCGTGACGCCCCTCTGTCCCCGCGGCAGGTGACGAGGACGATGACGACGAAGGCCGCGAGGAGCGGCTGCCGTCGTGCTTCGATTACGTCATGCACTTCCTGACGGTGTTCTGGAAGGTTCTGTTCGCCTGCGTCCCCCCCACGGCGCTGCTGGGGGGCTGGGCGGCCTTCGGCGTCTCCATCCTCCTCCTCGCGCTCCTCACCGCGCTCATCGGCGACCTGGCCGCGCACTTCGGCTGCACCCTGGGCCTCAAGGACTCGGTCAACGCCGTCGTCTTCGTGGCCCTGGGCACCTCCATCCCCGGTGAGGGACACTGGGGACACTCTGGGGACACCCTGGGGACACCTTGGGGACATTGGGGACATCACAGGGACATCACAGGGACATCATGGGGACACTGGGGATGGGACAAGGGTCAGCACCCTGGGCCTCAAGGACTCGGTCAACGCCGTCGTCTTCGTGGCCCTGGGCACCTCCATCCCCGGTGAGGGACACTGGGGACACTGGGGACATTAGGGACACCCTGGGGACATTGGGGACATCACAGGGACACTGGGGATGGGTCAAGGGTCAGCACCCAAGGACTCCCTGACTCGGCCAACGCCGCCGTCTTTGTCACCTTCAGCATCCCCAAAGTCCCCAAAGTCCCCAATGTCCCCAACATCCCTGATGTCCCCAATATGGCCAATGGCCTCACTGTCCCCAGCATCCCTGATGTCCCCAATATGGCCAATGTCCCTCACTGTCCCTCAGTGTCCCCAACGTCCCTGATGTCCCCAATATGGCCAATGTCCCTCACTGTCCCCAACGTCCCTGATGTCCCCAATATGGCCAATGGCCTCAATGTCCCCAACGTCCCCCACCTCTCAAAGCCCCCAATGTCCCCCCAGTGTCCCCTGGTGTCCCCAGCAGTGTCCCCATGCCCCCGGTGTCCCCAGCAGTGTCCCCATACCTGCAGACACCTTCGCCAGCAGTGTCCCCATGACCCCTGATGTCCTCTGATGTCCCCAGCAGTGTCCCCATGCCCCCGATGTCCCCCCAGTGTTCCCCGGTGTCCCCATGTCCACGCAGACACCTTCGCTATCAGTGTCCCCAGCAGTGTCCCCCCAGCGTCCCCAGTGTCCCCATGTCCCCATGAATGTCCCCTGTCCCCTCAGACACCTTCGCCATCAGTGTCCCCATGTCCCCATCAGTGTCCCCATGTCCCCAGTGTCCCCATCATGTCCCCTGTCCCCTCAGACACCTTCGCCAGCCGCGTGGCCCCAGCAGTGTCCCCATGTCCCCATCAGTGTCCCCAGTGTCCCCATGATGTCCCCTGTCCCCTCAGACACCTTCGCCAGCCGCGTGTCCCCATGTCCCATGATGTCCCCTGATGTCCCCTGATGTCCCCAGTGTCCCAGCAGTGTCCCCATGTCCCCATCATGTCCCCTGTCCCCTCAGACACCTTCGCCAGCCGCGTGGCCCCATCAGTGTCCCCATCAGTGTCCCCATGTCCCCATGATGTCCCCTGTCCCCTCAGACACCTTCGCCAGCCGCGTGGCCCCATCAGTCCCCAGCAGTGTCCCCATGTCCCCTGATGTCCCCATCAGTGTCCCCAGTGTCCCCATCAGTGTCCCCTGATGTCCCCAGTGTCCCCAGTGTCCCATCAGTGTCCCCAGTGTCCCCATGATGTCCCCTGTCCCCTCAGACACCTTCGCCAGCCGCGTGTCCCCATGTCCCATGATGTCCCCAGTGTCCCATGATGTCCCCAGTGTCCCATGAT